GAAACGCCACAACAGCGGCAACAAGGTATATACCACTTCAATATTACAGCATTGCAGGTTGTGATAATTATTAGCCAGGCACGTTTTAATTTTAGTAGAGCTAACACGTAGAGGCATCTATCAATCATACAAAAGTGCTGCGTTTTACTGGTAAATTCATGCTATATTATCTATCGTGTCATCTATGAGGCAACGCAGGTCCTAAATATGTAGGAGTTAAACGTACTGACATTGTTAAAGTATCGCTTGTTTAAAGACATGCTTAATAAGGAAGTTTCCTACGTTTTCTACAGCTACGTCAATGAGTCGTCCACGTAGAGGATAAATTTGTGTGCAAAACAAGAGATCTAGCAGTGTAGTGTTGTGTTATTGTTTGGGTTACTTGTGAGCTCTCCGTAAGTCAAGGGAGACTTTTGTTTGTAGCATAAATGCTATATGGATGCTGTGTAGCTGGTGACTTTGTGGTGTATCTATGTGTTCTGTGTGTCAACCCATTGTGTGTGCGCTATTGCGCTGGGTGCTCTGGTGAGTGGAAGAGTGCAGGTAGTAATTGTTGTATTTTTTCCTTTCCTTTGGGGGGGGCATTATACTGGTTATACGAGTACGGCATATCAAGCTGCGGGTGAGCTAAGCGTCCTATAGCTATGGCCTTTGGTTGTCGGGCCCCCTATTTTTCGCTGAGAGGTGTGGTGTGTGAAACCGATGTTGTGTGCCATATGAAACAGTACATCAAAACCCATCGTGGCCCAATGCAAAAGTCCACATGTATAATATGACATTTCAGCCATTAGAGTCTCCTTTAGGTGGAATGAAGCCGGACACTGGTAAGTGGCTTGTTTATTTCTAGCCCAAGTAACCCCTTGGCCAGAGATACGAGGGGGGGGGGGGGACACAACGTTGTGGACGGTTATCCCATCTGAGGGTGAGTCGCAAGCATGGATATATGTGGGGGTGGGAGTGTGAATCTAGTCACCTTCCGTGGAATGGGTATCCAGAGTGCATAGCTCCTCTATCTGGCCTGCGACAAGCAGCCCTTTGGAGAGTCAGGCCATGGCAGTGTCCTGTGTGCCCAGGGCGGTCTGTCTGGGTACAAACTCCGCCGAAGCTCCCGGGTTCCATCTATGAGTTGGACGGAATAATCTAAGGATATACGTAGGTGCAGCTTGTCCAGACGGCTCACATGGATGGTAATATGCAAAACAAAAAGTGCGTACTCCAATGGTGAAATAAATACGTAAATATGAAGATAAAATATATGTGGTTATAGAGCAAACCTTGCTCTAGTACATATAGCGCTGGTGGTATAACCCCCACCTAAGGGTGTAAAGGAACGAGGAAGCGAAGAAATAATGAAAAATAAAAAAGTGTAAATGAAGTAAAATACATTGTTTTTAACCAAATATAAAATCAAATATAGACAATAAAATGGGGTAAAGAAAGTCCACTTTACACGTTTCGCCCAAAGGCTTCATCAGAAGTGTAGTCTTGTCCTTCCCAGATGCTGTTTATATAGGCAGTCTCTGATTTGAGCGTGGAACGCAAAATCCGCCATACTGCGTAATTGCTGTTCCAACGGTAACTATATAGTCCTTACAATAACAATAAGTTCATGCGAATACAATGTTAGGTGAACAGAAAAGTGAATTAGTCTATTGGTGCAATTTGAAGGTACTTCCTGAGAGCGGTATCTGGCCGGAAGTGACGTACCGCTATGTGGTCGTTCGGCCATTTTAATGTCGGGCAGAGTATGGGAAAAGAAGGGGGAGAGGGCTGAGATCAGTTCTTACAGTAGAGGAGAAGATAGTGCATAAATCATCATATAAAGTCTATTGAATAAACATGGGTATGCACATGGTTATATGCCACAAAATAAACGTAATAAAAATATAAATATATTAAAAAAAGAAAAATTATAAAAATAAAATATAAAAATAGCACCATGGTAAATACACATAAAAATACTTATAAGAATACATATAAAAAGAAGGGTATCAGAATAAGTTGTTTATAAATGCATTATACTGTAAATCACTTAGATCATATTGTAATTACAAGAGAACTTATGACATCATTAAAAAGTAAGTGCATTGGTGAAATAATAAAAGTATATACAGAGATTATATAGATCTTAATTAATGCAACACACGAGCAAAATAGTGATAATACTTGCAGAACCATTTGAAAAAAGTGATAATTGCAGAACCATTTATTCTTTTAATATAATATATATGTTTCTTGTATATAATAATTATATATATCACCTTTAGGACATATACAAGATACCTGTGCAAGGTTTAATTAAGGATCCCACATGTCTTCTGTCTGTTTGATCACCATATATGGGAATACTTTTGGATGTAATACATTGTCTTTATCTGTCTTATATGAAGGTTTGACAGATATGTATATTGGGGACCTTTTATAAGTTTGCACATATATACCCTTAAGTATCCCCTTATTTGCATTTACACTATATGTATATACTTTTTACAAATGAATTTATTAACCATTGGATGTTTTTTTTTCTGTTTTTTATGAATTTGCATTTATTCCTCCTTTATGTGGAGTGATTGGTTACCAAGGGTACTATACTGACAAACCAACTTGTGACCAATACTAAAAACGCCACGTTTCAGCGTGCGTTCCAACTTGCCGAAAACCGGAAGTGATGTCACATATGGAAACCGGAAGTGACGTGACGCCAATACAGAATTCAGTTCAGGTGAAAGCCAGAGATGAGACCTATAAAAGAGAACCGAATGGGACTTGGAGACAAGCACTAGAAGAAGGCTGCTTGCCGAAACGCGTCTGCTTTGATCCATATTATTTATATTTTGTTGTTTTATTGTATGTATCTACTTTGGGCTACTGCAAATAGGGGTAAGTGGAACTCTAACTCTACTCTACTATACTAGTTTTTGTGTTGGGCTCCCCCATAGTGCCCTATAGTATTTTTATATATATATATATATATATATATATATATATATATATATATATATATAAATAGCGAGGGCTTGCACTCCTGGTGTAATCCTGTGGTGCCCGGTGCTGGTCTGGCAAGGATCATGTAGACATAGCAGAAATGACCGCACTCCAAGGATTTAAGTCCTTGGAGTGCGGTCATTTCTGCTATGTATATATATATATATATATACACACACACACACACACACACACACACACATTTTGCAATAAATTACTATTTTTTACCTCATATTGAAGTCTCATCTACCTACATTGCTTAGATCGCTAGCCAGTACTTGGCACCCGTGAGCCTGATATACAGAGCCTGGTACGGATCTGGAGATTCTGTATATCTCCATTAAGCTCAATTATTTGTAATATTACCTTATTTTATCTAAGTGACACTGGGGAGGTGGACATACCAGTATATTTATATTTTCATACTTTGTTATCTTGACGTCTGGTGTAAAAGGGAAAAACCTATATACTGGGTACACCGTTTTTGTTTGGTATTTTCGTTACATACTATATTGCCATATATTTCAGTGAAGCGCCTACTCACTATTCTTTTTTCTTATATTTATCATTGACAAGGTTGGGAATCCTTGTACTAGTTACTGCAGGCCTCTGTTTTCCTGACTTTTTATCAGTGTTAAGTGAGCGCCAATTAAACCTTTCCTACTATATAGACAAGGCTCTGCAAGGTGTGAGGTTCTACACTTGGAAAAAGTCTGAATGGCTCTTCATCCATTTGGCATGTACTTTATTAGGGATGAGTCAATCTCTTTCATTTGTAAATGCCATTAGCCGTATATCATATCCAAAGGAAGGACAAAAACATTCATATTTACCCCACATAATAATAATAAAGCCTCATTTTTGTTATATTTAGAATGTGACAAGCGTCATCTTCTAACCAAGTCCAAACATAAGTGGCCTAACGTGACCATAGGGGGAAGGAATTGTGGTGTCCATCCTATAGGTTCGCAAGGCCGGCATGCAACATGTGTAGAATGGGAAAATAATAAATTCATAGAGGCAATTATTATTCCTGTGGCTGATACATAAGAGAAGATAGAACCAAATGTTTCCATTTGGATTGATGTGGGTCTGGACACAAGGGGGTGGTCGCTTATTATCTCTATAGATACGCCTTAACTCCACCTCTGGGTGGGGTGTGGTAATCCACAGGGTATGTCTCTAATGATCCTGAAGGGTGCTAGTGTACTTGATTGGGGCCAAGATCTAATTTTGAGTGAGTCACCATCTTTCCTTGCCAGAGACCCTCTGGACAGAAGTTGTACTTTGAAAACCTAAGATAGGACTTCTGTATTTTATCCTTTTTGTTTTTATCTGTTGTTGGTGTAATTTGTTTATCATATATTTTTATATGCACTGTGACTATTTTTGCTCATATTAAACATTCATTTATTAAGTCCTGCCTTTGTCTGGTTAAGAATCACGTAACCTGAAGAGACTAGTTAGTATTTTTTCAATTCCTTAAATATTGTACTCAGTAATATTTGGTGGGTTTTATTGTTGATTTACCTGGGGGACCAAAGCACCCCATTTATAAATTGCCTTGGTGGTGGCAGCGTTAAAATAGTAATAGTTATATTATTATGTTTAAGTGTGGGTGGTGTTAAAAAGGGGGAATTTTGTCATTATTTCTGGTCTAGTGCAGACTAATAGTGAACTTTAATCCTTTCACCACCACAACTACGTCCCATACACTCTTGGAGTAGGGTGCGTTCGTGACAGTTCCAAGTTAAATTAATATATTAAAGAAATAATATAGATTGTGCCCATCTCTCTATTCTCAATGGATGCTGCTATGTCTCATATATTGTATGTGTTATTTATGTTGTATAGAGTATGTATCACTCCCTTCTGTAGATTTAACTTTGGATAAGCAACTCATCTTGGGAATATATTAATATCTTAGATAGTGATAGTTAACGTTTACCATTTTGAGGAATATTAGCTGGGAATTAAATTACAAGTCTTGTAAAAAAAAATTTTTTACAAAAATATAAAGTACAACATTTTTAATATTTATTCAAACAATACACACCATCCGAAAATAAAATATCTTGGCACACATCTGGACCAATACAGCAATTTGTATGCACTTCAAGTTAATATCCATTTTTGATGCAAAAGTATTGGTGGTGAATATTTATCTGCGAAAGCTTTTATATGTCTAAGAATTCAGTTAATTAGGATGAGTACACAAGTATAAGGTTATTTGATTCTTTAAAACAAGTGTAAAATGGGTCGCGAATTAATCCCCATTCTGCCAATCTATAGTTAGAGCCAAACATTATAAAAATGGTTATAGGAATTACTATATATGTTTAAATGAATACATTCAGAAAGAGGCCCTTCTTAACACATATTTGAGTCTGGCCTGGATTGCTGGGTTGAAGGTTATAACAGCAGGCCTTTATCAATCTATCTGAACAAAAACCATATGTGTTGACCATTGATATACAGTGGACATAAGTACTATAATTAATATTAGATGTGTAGGTAGGGCCTCAGTTCCTGTGTATGAAAAAAGTCTGAAATCATGTAATTTGCAACTAATACAAGAATGATAATATTACAAAGAAACAAATCCTGCAACACAGATATTTTAAAGCTCATTAAATATTTTTCAGAAGGCTCTTTATTTGACTCCAAATTATGAATGTCTGATTTGATAATGTGACAAAATTGGTATATTTATTAGTTATAGTCTCAGCTGCATTGTATGCCCTAAGAAAAACCCTAGAGAAATAGAAGTAAACATAACCTTTGCTTGAAGTCTGTATTAACATGGGTTGGGGGAACTAGCCTTTAGAATTGGCAGTGCAGGTTAGGCACCCCGGATGATAGCATCATATGTACATTGACTGCTACCATCACAGTTACTATTTATTGTGTCAGCAAGAGACAATTCACACAAGATCTTTTTTTCCTATGTTAATGCATCTATGCATTATAACATTTTAGAGACTCACCACCTGTGTGAGTTCTCTGATGTATAATAAGAAGATGTGAATGTTGAGTAAAACATTTTCCACATTCAGAACATGAGAAGTAGTGTTGTCGCAAACTGTTCGGAGTTCGCCACGAACCGTTTGCGGTCAGCAGACACATCCCGGCCAATCTCCAGCAGACCCTCCCTCCTCCTGGACAGCATCCATGTTGAAGGCAGCTTCAACATGGATGCTGTCCAGGAGGTGGGAGGGAGGGTCTGCTGGAGATTGGCCGGGATGTGTCAGCTGACCGGAGTTCGCCAAAAATCGTTCGCAACAACACTAATGAAAACGGTTTTTCTTCTGTGTGAGTTCGCTGTTGTATAACAAGAGCTGAGTGACAGTTAAAAGGCATTTTCCACATTTAGAACAAGATAATGGTTTCTCTCTTGTGTGAGTTCTCTGATGACTGAAGAGCTCTGCTTTAGTGACAAAACCTTTTCAACAATATGTACATGAGAATGGTTTTTCTCCTGTGTGAGTTCTCTGATGACAGACAGCTTTGCTTCAGTAACAAAACATTTTCCACATTCAGAACATGAGAACGGTTTCTCTCTTGTGAGTTCTCCGATGTTTAACGAGACTTGAATTAAAGCTAAAACATCTTTCACATTCAGAACATGAGAACGGTTTCTCTCCTGTGTGTATTCTCTGATGACTGACCAGATCTGCTTTCATAACAAAATATTTTCTACATTCAGAACACGAGAATGGTTTCTCTCCTGTGTGAGTTTTCCGGTGTTTAACAAGACTTGGGTAATGCCTATAAAATTTTTCACATTCAGAACATGAGAACGGTTTTTCTCCTGTGTGAATTCTCTGATGACAGACAAGCTTTGATTTAGTGTCAAAACATTTTTCACATTCAGAACATGAGAACGGTTTCTCTCCTGTGTGAGTTCTCTGATGACGGACAAGCTTTGATTTAGTGTCAAAACATTTTTCACATTCAGAACATGAGAACAGTTGCTCTCCTGTGTGTATTCTCTGATGGCGGACAAGCTCTGATTTAGTGACAAAACATTTTTCACATTCAGAACATGAGAACGGTTTCTCTCCTGTGTGAGATCTCTGATGGCGGACAAGCTCTGATTTAGAGACAAAACATTTTTCACATTCAGAACATGAGAACGGTTTCTCTCCTGTGTGAGTTCTCTGATGACGGACAAGCTTTGATTTAGTGTCAAAACATTTTTCACATTCAGAACATGAGAACAGTTGCTCTCCTGTGTGTATTCTCTGATGGCGGACAAGCTCTGATTTAGTGACAAAACATTTTTCACATTCAGAACATGAGAACGGTTTCTCTCCTGTGTGAGATCTCTGATGGCGGACAAGCTCTGATTTAGAGACAAAACATTTTTCACATTCAGAACATGAGAACAGTTTCTCTCCTGAGTGAAATCTCTGATGACGGACAAGATCTGCTTTAGTGACAAAGCATTTTCCACATTCAGAGCATGAGAACGGTTTCTCTCCTGTGTGAGATCTCTGATGGCGGACAAGCTTTGATTTAGCGACAAAACATCTTTCACATTCAGAACATGAGATAAGTTTCTCTCCTGAGTGAAATCTCTGATGACAGACAAGATGTGCTTTAGTAACAAAGCATTTTTCACATTCAGAACATGAAAACGGGTTCTCTCCTGTGTGAATTCTCTGATGTGCAATTAGAGTGGAGCCATAGCGAAAACATTTTCCACATTCAGAACATGAGAATGGTTTCTCTCCCGTGTGTATTCTCTGATGTCTAATAAGATGTTGTTTACAGACAAAACATTTTCCACATTCAGAACACAAGAACGGTTTCTCTCCTGTGTGAGTTCTTTGATGTACAATAAGAGTATTGTTATAGCTAAAACATTTTCCACATTCAGAACATGAGAATGGGTACTCTCCTGTGTGAGTTCTCTGATGTGCAATAAGAGTTGAGTTACAGCTATAACATTTCCCGCATTCAGAACATGAGAAGGGCTTCTCTCCTGTGTGAGTTTTCTGATGTGTAAGAAGTTTGGAGTATTGCCTAAAACATTTCCCACATTCAGAACATGAGAATGGTTTGGGGTTCATGTTTACGATCTCATTTGAGAACATATGGTAATCTGTTTTGCTTGATTTTTCAAAGTTAGACTCCTTGGTTCTGTGATTAAAAGATTTCTTCATAGCCTTGCTTCATAGATTTCTGTTCTTGTCACCACTTTCAGTAGTACCACTCTGGGCAAATACACCTGAAAGAAATATACTGTGGGTTAAAGGAAATCGGTTACAATAAATTATTGTTTGCCATACTTAGAAAAATGACAATATTTTTGTAATAGATAAGAAAAACGACTATTGGATGTCATGGTGACTGAAGAAAATTGAGTTTTTTGTGTGCTTTATCCCCTTCACTAGCAAAATTAGGTATACTCCCTTTTACCTTAATTTGCAAAATGAGATTTAGTCCATAAAGCCTCACTTATCTACATTAAGGTTGTGATATTGAAATTGTAGTAGATACCTGGTTTGACCTATCAGTGGAAATAGAAATAGTAATTACTATACTTGGAAAAACTGACAATATTTATTCAGTTTGCTCGTAATATATATATATACATTTAGTTCAGGAAGAACAAGTTCATTTATGTTTGTATATTTATTACAAGTGTACATAGTGTTTTTTTAGCAAAGTGTCCCCACTCCTGTCTCTCCACTCTAAGGGCTTTGACATGTCTTGGTTTTATGATGATTTTAAGCTCTTTACAATTCATAGACAGGTAGAGCCAAGGCTTGTGCATGTGAGTTCTCTCTGGGTATTGAAACTAATCAAACAGAAGAGAGGAGATTTATAACAGCATTATAGAGAGGGAAAAAAATTCTGGTCATATTAATATGTTCCAAACAGAAACACCTGGAACAAAAATAACATTCCCATTCCCCTAATAAATCAGCTTAAATTATCCAGAGAGATACTGCCAGGCAGCTTTGGGCTCTATTTAAACAATTGGGACTTGGTTACTGATGCAGTTACATGCTGCTGTTTATTTCTGACACTTGTCCCTTTTGAGCCTTTAAGGCTTCCTTATGCTCCACTAAAGAAAGAAGCTTATATGTCCTAACCCTGGCGACAACTTACAAGCATTGAATGCATGATGGCCGTCGACTGGAACACGTCATACAGACGCGACTACTGGAAGTGACGCACAGAAATGAGGTCAATTGAACAAGGAATACATGGGAAAATTTGATTTTTGACAAGTCAAAACTGCGGAATATTGTTGGAAACACCCACAGAACCACCAATGAGATGCAAGGATGGCATATATATGAAGGACTGAGGAGGGGTGGGGGAAGGAAGGTATATGCCGCTTTCAGATTGTTTTTATTATATTTTTATTGTTGTGTCCCTGCCGAAGTGTCTTGCGAGATGAAACGCATAGGAACATTTTTATTGTATTTTATTTCATTTTTTAAGAGTCCATCTTTCCATTTTGTGGTGTCATCATCCAAAAGCTGAGAGTGTACCCTGGATCACTCCCCCAATCATCCAACGGGAGGCACCCTAAGGCAATTTCCAAGTCTCCATCTAGTGAGCGCAATTGAATTTAGCACACAGCAATCTATTTTAACTGTATTCCACTATTATATTGTTTTACCTTTCTGTAGATTATCAGAAGGAAGCTGTTTTTAATTTGTATTGGATAAGTAATTTCTTGGACTTATCCATTATTCTATATTGGTGTAGGTTTACCTTTGCTATACACACCTTGAATATGCAGTACTATATTTGTAACCTGTACGAAAAAAAAAAAAAAGATATGGCACTAGAAAAAATTCAGACAAGATTTTTCTAAACTAAAGAGGTTTAAATTTGTCAACCCAAGAACAAGAATTTTCATCTAGACCAATTTATTTGAGTTTGAACACTAATCTATAGTGTGGAACTGTATCAAACACCAAATAGATCAAATCCACTGCAACACCCTGATCTATACTTCCAATGACTTCTTCGTAGAATGCAATTAAGTTAGTTTGGCATGACCTATGCTTCATTATTATTATTATTATTATTTATATATATATATAGCGCCAGCAAATTCTATAGCGCTCTACAACGGGTGGACTAACAGACACATAACTGTAACTAAACAAATGGACGCACAGGAACAGAAGGGTTGAGGGCCCTGCTCAATGCGCTTAAATGCTACAGGTAAAACCATGCAGAATTTTGCTGATAACCACGTTCTTCCACATTTACATAATTATACAGATGAAATGCCTGCAGTTTAGAGAGGACTCATAAGGGTTCTAAACATTGTGAGTGTTCCAAATTATTTTACGTGTATATATTGCCCTATGATAGTTTATGTTTACACTGCATTGAATATACCAGTTACCGTATATCAAGAACATCTTACACCACTGTGTTCCTATTCCTACATATGTGTAACGGAACCGCTTGCATCCCAACTGAGTACCTTCTGTTGGTGGATGCTCCTAGTGCTTACCAAGGACTCCAAGCACTCCACCAGACACCATAGCCACTGTAGACTCCCTCAAACCGCCACAGCTTGGTTGGGGTCTCGCCATCTCCACCCACTCTGGACCCAAGACCAGGGTCCAGCTTCCAGTAGGTCAACCTCTCCGAATTTCAGAGAGCAGGAACAAGCTCTTAGGAGAGCTTAGTGATCATACCCTGGGGAGTATAGTGATTATAGCAATCCCCAGAGTGTAGTTCTCCAATCCCCCAAACATGAGCCGAAACTTCATGAAGGTACAAGATGATTTGACTCCAATGAGCGTTTATTACTCCTTATATACAAGTTTTCAGGCCAGAGGCACACCCCCTAGACCTGGTGGTAAACTGTGACAAAAAGGGACACAAACCAATGGGAACACTAATTAACATAATAACCATCCTACATACACAATGAAATCCCTCCTCTCTATCCTGGAGATAATTGGCTTAAAAGACCACTATAGGCACCCAGACCACTTCAGCTTAATGAAGTGGTCTGGGTGCCTGGTCCAGTTAGGGTTAACCCCTTTTTTCAATAAACATAGCAGTATGTTTACAAGTATGTTTTCCTGGCACTGTAGTGGTCCTTTAAGGCATTCAGTAAACTCAATTATCTCCAGGTACAGAAAATATCAAAATTTTACACTAACAGCAAAAATACATAAAAGTACATAAAAATATATAAATCTTATAATACACAGAACCCCCCACAGTTAACCTATCCCCAGATGGCTCGGATATGAGCGCCCAATATAGGTGAACAGCGCTCGGCTCCCACGAACAAAGTAAATTTGCCATGGGGTAAAGCATAGCAAGGGGGCTGTTGAGAGACCAAGGAGGGACAAAAGCAGTCAGTTCCAACTGGTTTGGCAGTGTGCCTGGGACAACGCCCTGCTGGAGAACAATAGACAGGAAAACGGGGGAGGGGAAGAGACACACCTTCCCATGGATTCAAATGGGCAGAAACAGTATTTAGAAGCCAATAAGCCCCACATAGTCTTTTTAAATGTCAATACAGCCCAGGGCCATAGACATGAGGAAGGAGGCTGGCAAATAGGCTCCTCCAACAGCCGGGGGCATGCCTGTGATTGGCCAGTGCAGCATGTGACCCAGCCTCTATATAAGCTGGAGTGACATAACCACTCATCTGACGTGCAGCACTATTAGTGTAGGGAGAGGATGATGCAGCTGTGAGGGACAGATTAGAAAAGAATTCTGGTGTTGAATCTGCAAACTACAGCGATTATTTTTGTGGGTGCTATACTACATTTTTGTACCCTGCCCTGAGCCCAGTGCCACAGAGAAATAATCAGTCTGTTTGTTAATGTGCCAGGCACATTACTTCAATCCTGTTCTCTTTGCTCAGTGGGCAACATCTAGGCATTTTTAAATACTCCTGTGCAGGGCCGCACTGGCCCACCTGTCAGGGTATTTATATCGGCAGACATTTTGTGCTATGATAGAAACTAAAAGTGTATATTCTGAGTCACTCTGAACAGACCAGACTCCATTTTGTTATTCCAAGTTAACAAAGACAAAGAGACACAGGATTTCTTTCTGTAAGACTGGCCTCTTTGCCAGAGCTAAGGAATGCATAGTATAAACAAGTGATAAGAGGAATATAATCAAATCTAAACCCAGACAATTGTGACAGAGAAGATTAAATAATTTAATATTTAACTGTCTATATATATAAGGTACCATTGTATGGAAAAGGGTAAACTTAGTTCATGATCTGCCATATCAGAAAAAAACTCAGATTTGCAGACACATAGTCTGGACAAAATTTAAGAACCCCTTTTATCTTTGAAGGATACGTAAGTTATAGCCACTATCTAGATAGGCCAAAATGACGTCAAAATAGCCACCAGGAAAAGTTAACTCTTTCCTGGATAGGTATGTTTAGTGGGACAAGACTGCCCTCTACAGACCAAATAACTAATTTGCGATCTGGAAGATAACCACACCTCTAGTGCTTCTATTGGGTTATCAACTGATGACGTACAGAGAGTCTGGCCCTTTAAAAGTTAAGACAAAGGGAAGATAGAAAAATACGAAATACGAGAGGAGGCAGATGCAGGACAGATGCAAAGGAGAGGAGAGAGGAATTGGAAGTTTGGGGACTCCAACTCGGACAACATCTGAGACTAACACTCTACTCCTAAAACTCTAACACTTAGAATTTACTGACTTTCTAACCAACACCTCCATGCAGAGAGACTACCAATCGGATGAAATATCTACTCAACTGGTAATTATACTGGTTTCATTTAATTAAATTAAATTAATTAAAATGTATTAATAGCATTATATATGACTGGATAAAGCACGGTCAGATTTCCATATTAAGAAATCTTAGTTAACTAAGAATATATAGTTATAACCATTCCATTCTGCAGGTGGAATTAAGAATAATTATATATTGATGTGATATTATCACGTGTTAGCATACCGCTGTTTTTATCCAGGTGTATTGATTTGCTCTAAATTAAGATAGATATCTTTTAGACAAATTAAAAATCTGCTTATATAATATGTAGATTCTCTTATTGGATTGTTTTAAGAAAATGACTAGTGAACTGGTTTAAATGTTATTTTATTTAAAAATTACATAAGAATAGATCTTAACTACCTAGGAGATCTAGCCAGCATTGAAAGGGTTATTCTAACTGTCTGCTAAACTTTACGACCTTACGCTGCACTCTGAGGAATTCTGTTCTTCGCTGTGAAAAGTTTCACTTTCAGCCTGTGTTAAAGATAGTCATAAATAATTCTTGACAGGAAATG